TAGCTTTGAGCAACAGTTTTGGTCTTTTAACGTTTAGATCACATTTTTGCTCCTTTCGGCTTCAGTTTTAATCTTTTAGCTCGTCTTCTCTTCATGTTAACTTTAGCTTCAGCTCCTTCATCAAAACTTCACGCTGCACGAAATTCAATTTCTCCAGTTTAATTCCTGTATGAAGCGTATACGTCTTTTTTTTTTTTTTTAATAAATTGTATTTTTATCCTTTTGGGGTGAATTTGTAAAATAAATTACAGAAAAAAATGTACTCACTAATGGGTGTATTTGCTGTTTGTTACATCATTTATTTATTTTATCTGTGTAAGGCTGTTCTTGACTAAACTGACCCTTTGATTAAGAAGCACCGTTATCTCATTTTTTGGAGGCCCACCAGAACATTTTTACTGTGACTTGTTAAGACAGACAAAAGGCAAACTGCAGGTCAGACAGAAAGGAGTTAGAGACAGACTTCAAACAGAACACTGACGCAGGAGGGTGACCATGGTTATATGAACACGGAGTCAGTCCAGATGCCTAAAGATTAAAAGTTGTTTTCAACAGTTTCATCCCACATAACTGATTTAATGTCAGACAGGATCAAGTATCCCCTCATCAGTCCACAAAGTAACAACAGGCTACGACAAAGTAGATTTAGATCAAAAACTTGGGTCTGTTCTGGTTTGCAATCACTAATGTTCACTTTTTATGTTAGCAATAAGATGCACTCGCTTCATTAAACAGTATTTGTTTAGATTCATTTGGCTTCTATTTCAAAAAAAGTTTTTTTTTTTAATTATCATCTCAGCAACACACTGATATATATATGTATTAGGGCTGCAACAATGAATCGATAAAATAGATAAAAATCGATAATTAAAAGTGTTGGCAATGAATTTCATAATCGATTCGTTGTGTCGCGCGACTATGCATCTTTCACTTTCTTTTGTTCAGCTGCAGTGCATTGTCAATGCTGGCTGACTGAATAAAGTTTGGAAAAAAACAAACAACAACAACAACTCTGCAGCACGAGTTGAACAGAGCGAGGGGAAGGCGGAAGCAGAGCAGAGGCTGTTTTCAAAGGAATTTAAATACATTTTACAAATGACCGACGCAGAGAAAACTGTTCGACCC